GGACAAATCTGCGCGACAGAGAATCCCCAGCTACAAAGCCAAAATAACCTTGCTCATGGCTCAAAGGGGACTGAGAGAGGCGAGATCTGGCAAACCTAGTTGCATCGAGCTGTCGAGTGCTTGGTCTGTCAGCCCTTATCGCCGGTTTGGCCGATGAGATAGTGTAATTATCTGCCTATATCACCGAATAGGCAAATAATTACACTGGCCACTCCTGACAGCACATCGCTTTCTACCGCACATCAACTGTCAGCATGAAAAGTATTAGCAAAGCTATAGAGACTTTAATGAGGCCATTCGAGTGATTTTGATTTTTATGGACGCCCGACTGGCGCAGACTTCATCACCGGTTGAGATAGTGTAATTATTTGCCTATGCCACCGAATATGCAAATATTTACACTATCTCTACGGTCAAGCGATGTGCTGTCAGGAGGGCTCACTCCTGACAGCACATCGCTTTCTACCGCCCATCAATCGTCAGAATGAAAAGTATTTGCAAAGCCACAGAGAGTTTAATGAGACCATTCGCGTGATTTTGATGGACAAGGCTGCGCGACGGAGAAGATCACACACATGGCCAGAAGTACGTAACTCGCTGCTCAAAGGGGATTGAGAGAGGCGAGATCTGGTAAACCTGTCAAATGCTTAGTCACGCCAGCCCGACTGCCGCTGCCCTCTTCCGCCATTTTGGCCACCAAGATCGTTTATACCTTTACCTATTCCGCCGTTGGCGTCTTAGTGGTTGGTCGCGTACAGCCTACTCGTTTCTGTTCGACTTTACCGCCATCGGTTACCCTATGGTTTCGCTCTTGGGATCACTGGGACAAGTAAGCCCTCTATTATGACAAGGAACGACCATATGTATTTTACAGTGAATGCGAACAGTTTGTTATCACGTTGATTTATTATTACTTTAATAATAATACGAAAAGAACCAATAAATAATAACACTATAAAATTATCAGTAAATATATTAGATCATTATTTTTTATTGTTGTTGATAAAAAATAAATATTTGAGAGTTAAATAATAAAGGAAGATATTCACTACTGATAAAAAAATAACGTTAGGATGTAGCTACATTATTAACATTATTATGATTATAAATAAATAAATAAAAATAAAATAATAATAATAATCAAAATTATAAACAAAATAAAATAAAACAATAAAATAAAGGATTGTATAAAATAAATTAAATAAAAATTAAAAATAATAAAAAAAATAAATACTCCCAGCATGCCACAAAAACTTCCAGCTGGAAATACTATCATCCCGCCAAAAGACGTTAAATTCAATCTCCTCCTCACGAAACCTGGTATGGGCAACACGTGCGTGACGTCTCTCTGTGATATCGCTTGTAATACTACGGAATAAATTCTCCCTTTTGACACATGTACCATAAAACAATTGTAACCTAAAAATACACAAGCCAATACACACAAAATATATTGTATGAAATTAACATACAATTTTCCATGATTTTCCTATTATTTGTGTACGTTTTATTACCTGTCAAGTATGCTTTCATCTTCGTGAACACAAGGCTAATTTCTGCTGTTATGATGTGAGTGACAACCACACATTTTGGTGACCGCCGACGTACATAACAAAAACAACCTATTCACCTATAGCGACTCGAAACGCTTTTCCTCCAAATTTGAAAATACGTACTCGTCGATAAAAAAAAAATACGTTAATTCAATAAATAAATAAGAAAAAGGATAACGCCATTTTGTTAGCTGGGTTCAAGTTAATATATATTAAGCCCGGATTTCCGGAAATAGTTTCCTGGCGTCTGCCTCCCACAACAACTGAACTACGATTGCTCTACAAAGCGTGCTACACAGCCTCACTGAGAAGATTATTGGGAGGGAACAAAAGAAACAACTTACTATCTGGGAATTACTTTAAAAATTTGAATGGTAACAAAACACCTCCATGTGACTAAGGCAGGGTTAATTTAGCATTATAATCAAGCCTTTTTGCCACGTTACTCAGAACTTATTCGAAACTCTCCCAATTGACACATCTGTGTAAGTTGAATGCCTTTCTGATACAGGGTTTAAGTTTCCTCATCTATAGCGTCATAACTGTTTGATGTTTGTCATCGGGTTTTAAATAGAAAAAAAAATGGAATATCTATTTGCGAAAATTTTAAAACGAACTCTTATTACCGTAATATTTTCGGACGATCGAATATCTTTTTCCTGCTGTTGCTGTCATTCACGCTCATTCGCCGACTCATCCGTTTCTTTTTCATCGTCAGATTTTTGGTATAAATGTTCATTTTTATTTTGGCTATACGGTTTCTCTTTTCGTCAAAGAAAGGAAAGTTATATTCTTTCTTTTTTTTTTTTTTAATATTCACTCAGCAACATTCCTCGTGTTAGATATTAGATTTCGTTTTCAACACGTGCGGTTTCCCACGTCTTTTCCCTTGGAGATTCAGAAAACATGGACACCCTATATACCAAATTTATATTCTTCACATTTTCAGTCCCATTGTGTCTCAGCGTGAACTGGGAGAGAAAAGCAAAAATCGAAAGTTAAAGAGCTTTCCAGGTTTCCTGAAGTTATCTTCTTCTTCTTCTTCTTCTTCTTCTTCTTCTCTGCACCATGTCGATTCATCACGTAAGTGATCATGGCTCTCCACAGATCCCTATTTTTTACACCTTTTAACTTATAACTCTTTACCATCCACGTTTATTTCTATTTTACCATTCATTTCTCGTACGAAATTAAGCAATGTCGAGTCGTTAGTATGAAGATGGTTGGCGATTGGCAATACCGGATGCTGTGAGCCTGGATGTGCGGGCGGAGTAAAGGATAATAGAATTGTTAATCGGATAGTTGAGTTCTAATCCCAGTTGGGATCGTTATATTCTCTTACGCAAAAAAAACATTAGGAAAGCTATGAATTCTCCCCCAGCTATGGGTTAATTAATAAGACTTGTACCACTAAACTATTATTATTTTTTAAAAAAGTTCTTACAATCTAAAAAAAAATATTTTCTGACTTTAAATAACCTATAAAAGGTTGATAAGCCGTATAAATCATGCCAGCCATATCACGTTGAAACACTGTTTCTCGTACGATCGTAGAAGTTAAGCAATGTCGATCCTGATCACTTGCTAGATTGCTGACCAATTGGGAATACAAGGTGCTGTATGCTTGGAAAAGTTGGCGATGTAATGGATATTGGCTCGGAATTTTAAATCGGAGAGCCGGTCTCCTAATCCAGTCTGGTTAGTTTTGTTCACTTAAACGCAAATACCCTTGGCAAAAATGTGAATGCACCTCTTCTCCATCGGCTATGAGTTAAATTAGTATAATTTGTATCTGTAACTCCTTATCATCTCCGTTCAAACTCTAACAATTGCAACATATTTTCTGGCTTTAAATAACCTGCAAAAAGGTTGATAATGCTTAAAAAAAAAAGAAAAAGTAATCTTGTCACGTGGGTATTAGATTTCCAAGGCTTTCTTTCCTTATTGTGTCCATCTCTTTCTTTACGATTGCAAATAGAAGTATCTATACTATTTCATATTTCCTTCAATACTTTTATTTTCCTAACATGGTCAGCACATTTTTGTGTTTGGTAAATAAAATATTCCTATAACTTTAGATACATACATAAAAATTCCATACATTCTGTTAAAACTAAAATTAAAATCGTCCTTGAAGCTAAAAGTACAGCCGAAAGCACTCGGGCATAGAGATGATTCGGATAATTTCTACATAATTTATGTCCAGAAAAGATAAAATTATAACACAAGAAAAATTAAATAAAAAAAAAAAACTTAACCGCAGTACTTTTGTCAGTCGTTTTAACGAAACTTGTATAAAGGAGGCATTGCAGCACAAATTCACAATTATATATATACATACATACATACATACATACATATATATATATATATATATATATATATATATATATATATATATATATATATATATATATATATATATCTTTTGACTATATAATAAAAATGCAAGTTGAGAATTATCTGACACATGCCAACAACCATAAACAACACTTCAACAACACTGTACACATCCAGATTTCAATAGACGCTGAAGGACTGGAAAAATGAAGTCTTTTCAATTTGATTATTTTCATTCTTTAATGCCAATCGATTTTTCTTTTCACGACTGCAGTTCCTTCTTTTTTAAATCTCATATTGTTCTTTTATTTTTTTTCCCCTCCCAACGGACAGTTTTATGAATTGTTGAAGGAATATTTAAACATCAGGATTATGAAGTGCTGGGCGTTGCCATATGCCGACATCTTGAGTTTGTCGGACATGCGCAAAGCGACATTGCTATGATTAAAGTGTCTCCTTTTTCGTTAGCTGTATTTTCTTTCAGTATTTATTTTTTCATTCATGCTTGTGTTAATGTGTTGCTTCTATTGTAAGAAGAATGTTGGCGTTATCGGCTGTTGTGCGTTGTGCTGATTCTTAAATAATACTTGAACGATTATCATTGTTTGAAAATGGAAATTACCAGACCTTTAAAAAGAAAATAGAAGAATTAAAATGGAAGGGTTTAAATATCAAAGGACACATAATAGTGTAAAGGCAAAGTACGATAAAGGAATAACAAGTGGTCAGCAAAGAAGGTGAGAATGATAGAAAGAAAGAAAAGAAAAGTAAAAGAAGGGTAAAGAAATGAAAAAAAGGAAAATATATGAGTCAGATGAAGAGAACAAAGAGAAAAATAGACTGAAAGAAAAGTTAAAAAATAAAACATCAAAAAAAAGGAAATACAAAACAGAAAGTTCTTAGGTAATATACAATAGAATATATATAATATATATATATATATATATATATATATATATATATATATGAATAAATATAGAAAAAATACAAACAAGTAAACAAGGGTAAGAGTAAAAAAAAAAATAAAATGGACATCTAAAACGTAGAAAAGAATTAAAGGTAGATACTAAGAAAAATACAAAGTGAAAATAAAAAGAGAATAAATAATCAAAGGAAATACATAAGGAAGAGAGATCGATAGAAAAAGAAAGGAAGAAAAAGAAAGAAAAAACTAAAGAGAAGAGAAAACGAAAGAATGAAATGAGAAAGAATGGAAAAGAAAGAAGAAAAGAAAGAAATAAAACGAAGTGAAGAAGAAAAAAAGGAAGATAAATCGAAATAATAACGAAAGGAAAAAAAAGAAAAAAAAAACGAAATAAGCGTAGAAAAAGAAAGAAAGAAAAAACTAACAAAAAGAAAGAAGAGGAGGAGAAATAAAACGTAGGAAAGAAATAAGAAAAAAGAGATTGAAAGTAAAAAAAAAGTAAGAAGAGGAAAGGAAGTAAAGAGAACAAAAGAGAGAATGAAACGAGACGAAAAGAAAGAATGGAAAGAGCGAAAGAAATGAGGAAGATAAAGCAAAAGAAAAAACAAAACAAAACAAAGTAAGAACAAAAGTAAAGAGGAAAAAAGAATGAATGAAAGGTTAAAGAAAGAAACAAAGAAAGAAAAGGAGAATAAATAAAACGGAGTTGGAAAGAAATAAGAAAGAGGGAAAAACAAAGAAAGAAAACGAAATGTAAAGCAAAGAGTAAATACGAAACAATGAAATGTGAAAGAAAGAAAGAAAGAAAGAAAGAAAGAAAGAAAGAAAGAAAGAAAGAAAAAGAAAAAAACGAAAAGGAAAAAAGAACAGAAAAGAAAGAAAGAAAGAAAGAAAGAAAGAAAAGAAAGAAAAAGAAAAAAGAAAGGAAAACATGACTGGATTAATGAACAGAAAAGAAAGAAAGAAAGAAAGAAAGAAAATGAAAGAAAAGAAAGAAAGAAAGAAAGAAAGAAAGAAAGAAAGAAAGAAAGGAAACATGACTGGATTAATGAACAGAAAAGAAAAAAAAAGAAAGAAAAAAGAAAGAAAAGGAAAAAATGAAAGAAAGGAAAACAGAAAAGAAAGAAAGAAAGAAAGAAAGAAAGAAAGAAAGAAAGAAAGAAAGGAAAACATGACTGGATTAATGAACAGAAAAGAAAGAAAGAAAGAAAGAAAGAAAGAAAGAAAGAAAGAAAGGAAAGGAAAACATGACTGGATTAATGAACAGAAAAGAAAGAAAGAAAGAAAGAAAGAAAGAAAGAAAGAAAGAAAAAAGAAAAACGAAAGGAAAACATGACTGGATTAATGAACAGAAAAGAAAGAAAAGAAAAAAAGAAAGAAAGAAAGAAAGAAAAAATGACTGGATTAATGAAAAGAAAAGAAAAAAAGAAAAAAAGAAAGAAAGAAAGAAAGAAAAAAAGAAAAGAAAAAAGAAAGAAATGAACAGAAAAGAAAGAAAGAAAGAAAGAAAGAAAGAAAGAAAGAAAAAAGAAACGAAAAGGAAAACATGACTGGATTAATGAGCAGAAAAGAAAAGAAAGAAAGAAAGAAAGAAAGAAAGAAAGAAAGAAAGAAAGGTAAAACATGACTGGATTAATGAACAGAAAAGAAAGAAAGAAAGAAAGAAAGAAAGAAAGAAAGAAAGAAAGAAAGAAAAACGAAAAGGAAAACATGACTGGATTAATGAACAGAAAAGAAAAGAAAAGAAGAAAAAAAGAAAGAAAGAAAGAAAATAAAGGTAAAACATAATTAAAACAGAAAAAGAAAGAAAGAAAAGAAAGAAAGAATGAAAGAAAGAAAGAAAATATAAAATATAAAAAAGATATATATATATATATATATATATATATATATATATATATATATATATATATATATTAAGAGAGAGATGTAGGGTAAGGATGTGTTAGAGATTAAAAGAGAGATAAAGAGAGGGGGCAGAGCGAGTAAACATATATATATCTTGGTAAATCAATTCATACAGATGACCTAATCTTGAACAGAATGAGCGAGATAGCTGGCTACTCAAATATAAAGGAACAAACAAGGAAAATGACGACGGAATAAAGACCTACAATTGTTAGTAATATACTTAACTAGTGACTTTACACGCACACAAATACACACACACACAAACACACACACATATATATGAAAGAAAGAGAAAGCTATTTTCCTTTTGAAGATCACTCAGCAGTAATTTAACATCGCCCGAGTAGACACATTTGTAGTGTTTAAACTCGATTGCTATTGTTTAGCGATTTTTAACATATATTTTGGTTTAATCGCCTATAATAAATAATATTTAGCTCTACTCTGTATTGAGCCCTCTTTTAAATTAAAGGTTACGTACTGTGGAATTATACTCCATTTGTTCTCATTTTACCTGGGACTATATATATATATACATATATATATATATATATATATATATATATATATATATATATATATATATATATATATATATATATATATATATATATATATATATATATATATATATATATATATATATATATATATATGTATGTATGTATGTAAAAGAGAGAGATATCTAGGGTCAGGATGTAATAGAGATTGAGAGAGAGATCAAGAGAGAAAAGAGGCAGAGAGAGTAAACATGTATATACATTGGTAAATCAATTCATACAGATGACCTAATCTTGAACAGAATGAACGAGATAGCTGGCTACTCAAATATAAAGGAACAAAGAAGGAAAATGTCGAAATGAATAAATAAATATATACAATTGTTAGAAATATGCTTAACTAGTGACTTTACACACACACACACACACACACACACACACACACACACACACACACACACACATATATATATATATATATATATATATATATATATATATATATATATATATATACTTTAAGTGTCATTCTTACTGGATACTCTTATTTCAGTCGGTGCTCCGCTTATTTATTAAACAGTATATTTATTTATTTTTGTCTATCAGCCTGAATGATCATGAAATCCTATTAAAGAAGAATTTGCGCCTCTCGACAGGAATCGATCACGCGTTCCGATGCTATTCCTAATTCGAGGCTGGTGTTCCTTACTTGCACTAGTTGGTAGCCATTGTTTTACAAACGCCAAAGTTAAAGAGAACAATTTTGCTAAGATTTTTTCTGATGGCTTTACTTGATCACCCAGAGTCGTATACCTGTCGTAATTTAAATTTACACGTTTCGATAGTGTGACCGCTGGAAAAAGAGAAAATGATGAGCTGACTTAAAACATCCGCCCCGTCCGTTTGATTTGCGCTTGAAAAGTTACGGATACACAAGCTAAAGATGCGGGGGGAAATGGTCATCTCCCTGTACCATTTCAGTATGTAACTGAATCCTAGTGCTATTCTCTACCTTTACAAGACCCATATCAGGCCTGAAATGGGGTACGGCTTCCAAATTTGGATAGGAGCTGCCCAGTCTCCAATTTCCTGTCTCGGTAGTGTACAACAGCTTCTCTAAGTCCTTGTGAGTATACAAATTATTTCCCACCCAACAATCACTTTCTCACAGACGAAACGTGCCATGCCTCTCACTGCACTCTGTCGCTGTTTCCATGGGAAGTGATCATCCGTTCTTACCTTCATGACTAAGGCACGTAAATTCACGCGCATTGTAGCTAACCATTCTCATTTCCTTTGTATTGTATTAGTAAGATTTAAGTTCCACTTCTCTCGTACCGCTGCCAGGTGGAACCAAGAAGTTTTTTTTTTCCTCCCCATCACTACAATCTTAACCTGTTCAAGTCTCGGATTAACCGCTAACTTCCCCACATATCCGCATAGACTTTGCATCTTACACTGTAACCCTATACTTCGATTGACTTTTGGGCCTTATACAGGGTGAACATAATTGTAAAAAAAAACAAAAGATCATAAAAAGAAAGTTGAAAAGTATTTTACGCCAGAATTAAAAGTAAAGAGATCTTCCCTGAAAAATAAAGATTCGAATTTTAGACATTTTTTCCTTTGACGGAGCAGAACGACTTCAGTCACGAAAGGCGATGCTAAATGAAGATTTATCTGAAGTATATATCGGCTATTTAAAAGATGTTAAGGTTTAAAAAGTTCTTCCTTTAACTTTAAAGAAAAATCTCTTTTTGGGTATTAGATGAGATATAAGGACGTGAACAATGCGCAAAGAACATAAACTAATGTTATTCGAATAACAATACTCGGGGGAACTCTATACTAAAATCATTTGAATGCGAAGTTCTTGCAAGAGAACGCGACAAATAAATTACTTGAAATCCACTTATTGAGAAAGTCCTTTTGAAAGACGATTCCGAACTTTCTTTTAGATATTATACAAAGAGACTGAAGACAAACCTTAGAATTTACCAAAGAAATAATTGGTAATTAATATTCACCAAAAGAATATTGCTATATGTAACAGTAAATTTCGAAAGAGAGAGAGAGAGAAGAGAGAGAGAGAGAGAGAGAGAAATACTATGTCAACGTCATTCAACCAGGCACGAAAAAGTAATATCGCCCAAATGGGCTTTAGAAAAAGTTCAAAGGGTAATTCTTTTGAAATGCTCACAGAAAAGCAAAGCTTAAAAAATTATATCTAATATTTCCAAAAAAAAAAAATTATTAAGATTAATGACTAAAAATATAAAAAGCCTATTGGTTTCTGCCACAGATCACGAAGGACAAATTTTCTGGTTGATATAAACGAAAAAAAATGATTATTCCATGTTACAGTAAAATTAACTGTCTGCAAATGGCAGTAACAGACGACAGAAAACTTGACACAGGAATCCTAAGCCACGCAACAAATTAAAAGATGTTATCTAGAAAATAAGCAACGTATGAAATATAAGAAAATATCTTTAGAAAGTGTAGTGGACTGTGGCTGTAATGTTGTTGAGTAGAAGTAGAAGAAAGCTGTGGGTTCAGATTTTCCTGCTAGCTTGTCCAACTACACAAGAAAGTTGGATTTTAATTAAGTCCAAAGAATGCAAAGAAAACAAACAAAACACAAGACCGATAATATATCTATACAAATATATATATTAATAACAGGTTACATAAAAAAACAGTTACAAAAGGACAAAGTGTGTGTGAATATTATATATGTGGGTGTGAATATTATATACGTGTGTTTGTGTGTGTGTGTATTCTGCTTAGCGTGTTCACAACACTTTGAGAAACGCTATCCCTTGTTAGCGCCTACATTTCGAGGTTGTAAGCTGAAAGCCTGAGGAAAAAGAGAGATTTACCTCCAGGTGTCGACGCGAAGGCCTGAGGGAAAAAGAGAAAGAGTCGAAGGGTCAGCGGCTATTTATAGCAGCGAAGAGCGACCCCTGGTGAAAGGGTTACGAACTGAAGGAGGAGTTAACTCCGACAAAAGAAAGAAAAGGCGGGCGAACTGACATATGATATGCAAAGTTCGATATAGTTGAGAATAGTGGATAGTATTTCAGATGATTGTTTGAAGCAACAAAAATATAGTTCTTTCGACAAATGCTGAAAACAATATGGAGAATGAATATGAGCAACGAAAAGGTTTTAAGAAACAGTTAAACAAAGAAAAACGATACTTACAATCAGAACGAAGCTGTTGATGTTACCCTGAGACATTCACCTATCATCCGGTTTAAACTCTTCCACGTTTTTTTTTTAACAGTAGTATAGATCTATCCCTAGTTTACTGTTACTGTTTAGGATTGGGTTTCCGGTTCCTTCTAAAGACATTTCATTCTCTTTCACTATGCCCCTGCGTCTTAGTGACATTTTCGCCTTGCATCTGGTGAAATGATTAAAATATATACCGCCTGTAACAGCAAAATTGTCCAAATGGTGTAACTGCATAATTGTTCATCCCACAAAATGTTTAATATCTAAGAAACCAGTAAACTAATCGAGTTTCCTTTTTCCAGGTTTTTATATGAGATATTTAGCCATCTTGCCACCATTTTTCGTAAGAATCACTGTAAAAACTTTTGAGTTGAGAAAAGGTTAAATTCCTTTTTTGTCAGATCCACTGTCTTCCCCAGCTGAGCAATGGAGAGAGGAAAAAATAATCCAGGCTTTAAGTAATGGCACTACCATTCATATACTAGCCATTCAAGAACCAGCAAGAGAACAGTGAATAAGTTCTAAAAAGAAGGGACAGAAGAGAGGAAAACTGGATCAGGAGGTCACAACAGGAAGAGGGATCATCATTTCAAGTTACTACTAAAGAGATTAATTAGAAAAGATCCAATTCAATCCATAAGACATTTGGTATATGAGATAGGAGTTTCGGCTATGACAGTCCAAATAGCAATGAAAAAAAACTTGAAAATGAAATCGTACGTGAAACCTTCGAGACAACTTGTTACTCCAAGGCAGAAAGTTAGAAGTTTAGATAAGATGATGATCATCTTGTATAAGATGGAAAATGATCCTGGAATATATATATATATATATATATATATATATATATATATATATATATATATATATATATGACCTTCCGATCCTTAGCTATGATTAATTAACCCTGAACATGTCATTTTCGTTTATGATCGATTTTATCAAGAGTTTTCTCTTAAGCTTTTAGAATAATTATACATTCTTATTGCGCAAAGTAGAGTCCAACTGTGTTGCAAAAACATCGGAGAATTCCAGTAAGATATCTTTAATCATTTCTAAGATATAACGGTTCAGAGCTTAATCTAACAATTGAAAAAATTTGCTAATATACGATTTGGATAATTTTCCTGTTACACAGGCTATATAATGAAAAAAAGAAGGACTGGAATATATATCATTCACAGAAAATATTGATGGAAAAAGAAGCAAATGCAAACAGAGGGTAACCGACTTAACATATTTGTGTGGATGGAATAAAGTTAGAAAGGACATGAAATTAAACGTTGCCTTTTTTTTAAAATCATTTCACTCCAAACAAGGCGTTAATGCCACTAAGACGCAAGAAGTTACTGGGACTGAAAGGAAATGGGAAAACGTTAGTGGGGAGAAAGGGCAATAAAAGAAAAATGTTTAAAAAAAACAAAATGTGACAATTTAATTTTGGAAGATCCTAATTGACAGAAAATTGACTTAAACTCCAGCGCGCATTCACACCTGGTTATAACGTACTCACTCATTTCTGCTCTTTATAGCAATGCTTGGAAGGAACGTGTGTAGAGTGTGCTATTTTCACCACATTCTAGATGTTTCATCAGGGATAATGGCTTGTGCAGCAGTTTTTGAACAAAGACAAAAATTCCACAGGTCCGAAAACAACCATATCCCACAGATCTCGCATACTGCAACGCTATTCGCTTCAAAAATCAAATCCCTCTTGAAAGGAACAGCATTTTAAGATGTCGAGGAAATCCAAGAGAATGCGATGAGACAGCTGCTCGCTGTGACAATAAAAGAAATTTCAGTGATGTTTCCATCAGTGGAAAACGTCGCTGAATAAAACGTGCGGCTTCATAATTGGACTGCTTCGTAGGAGATTAAATGTCGAATTGATATGTGTTGTAGTTTTCTTTTAATAGTACCAGTCCCGATGCTTTTTGACCAGATCTCGTATATGATTCTGTGCATATATATTATTTTCTCACTGGGTCATTTAATTACTGGTCGTATCTTCTCATGGCTCAAGGACATCATAATTGGCTACCTAGTTAGGAATGAACTCATTACACTAGCCAATCTGTGTCTAATTTTTTGTAAGAATGTGGAAGGTAAATTACTATTTTTATCTTCTTATATTCCCTCGATTGATGAAATGGTATTATGTTAGTAAACTCAAAATACAGGTTGTCTGCCTAGATAACATATATAGGACAGTCTTTCTACTACTAATTATCGACATATCCATGTTCAATTTACCTAGCTAGCTAGCTCGAGATCACAATGGTACAAGATGAACCCCATTTCAATTAGTCGAAAAGAAACGTATGGAAGTATCCAATCGCAGAAACACGAAGCTTCTGACATGCAATTATCAGAAGAGGCTTTGTTGAATTTGATGAATAATTTCCAGAGATTTTTTCTCTTTTTTCTAGCATTTGTATATGCAATATTCTAAACCTCTGTTAATAATGCGTAAAAAGCACGTCAGCGAGATTGCATGTGCATGTCATCAGCTGTAAATAAAAAGTATTTGGTGATATTTGGTGTCTCTTGCATGGCAAAGCCTCTGTAAACTTCGTTCCATTACTAAGGTTACAGTCAGTCTGAAATCGTACTAGCTTGAATGTATGCAATATTAGCCTCTGTGTATATTGGCATATCTATTTGCATACATATGAATATACTTATATATGCGGAAGTATATATATATATATATATATATATATATTCAGAGAGAGAGAGGGAAAGAGAGGGAGAGAGAGATTTACACATGGAAATCATTACAAGTTGTTAATAGACTGTTAGTGCGTATTTATTTATGTCTCCAGTTTAAAGATTAGCTAACGAGATGATTTATTGTTTCGACGTCAGACACTCATATATGAGCTTGATACAAAACACGCATTCTTTCTATGTTCATGCAAACATTGAAAGACAGCTAAGCTTAGATCACTCTACGGGCAATGCTAGTGCCACATGACCCATTAATATCAACCGCACGATCGAGTCATCGCCGACTAAATCGGTTCCCGCACCGGCCTTTTCTTGGTAAGGAGGATAACTAGCCATCCTGCAATATCTACAAAAGAAAGGGTGGCTAAATCATCCCGTACTGTCAACGACTATCAAGCACAACGGGGCAAGACATGGTTCCATAGCTATGTATGCAGTCAGTGCGAGCATTGCACGCAGTTGCTGTGAGAATGGGGCTTCCTGGAGTGTAGTCAACGACCAGGGCAGAGAGATATCGGCGTTGTCGTAGTCGTCCTCGGCTTAATCTCGTATTCAAGAATTTAATTTCTTCTTTGCTGATCGCTTCATTTATAATGATGTCATTGATGACTAGATTTGCCGCCAACGTTCTGGTTTAGGACCAGAAGCTTCTAGTTTCACCAAAACTCTCTCCAGTCATCCATTCCCTATCGACGTTTGAGTTTGCAAGCTTTGTTTGGAGGTGAAACAACATCAGAATAGAAGAAAGTACCAATGTAACGAACTTATTTAAGGTGGACCTCAACTTGACAGGAAGTGGTCCACACATTTGATTTCATTAACTTCTGCTACGGCACATATGGAATGAGACAAGCAGAATCCAGTTATAAAGCCGCAATGGACTGCTGCTGACGATAATCGTCATCCACTCGTTCCACCGTTGGGATATTTGGGGTTGTTCTCACAGAGTCTGGGTCCTTGTCTTTGACCTTGCTATCAAGGGTGGCGCTACCTGGAGTTAAGGACTCCCGACAGTGTTGCTTTCGGAGTCGTTGGACTACGTAAGACCTTCCACCACGACAAGGGACGAGTTAGACACTTCGAAACATGCACGTATAACTACACATATATATTTTACACTGAATGACGGAGTACCAGATCATTATTATTACTTTAGAAAGCAAACAATAAATAACACTATGCAACAAA